GAAAACAATTTAAAAGTATATTAAATGAAATTAAACAAGAACAAATAAATCTTCAAAAAGAAAGAGATGACTTAAAGAAAGAAAAAGAGTTAATAGAAAAACTTCCCTTACAAAATAAAGAAGAACGAATGAAACAAGAAAATGAATTTAAAATATTTAAAAATTTATTTTTTATATGTATATTTTGTATCTTGATAATAAGTATTTATAAAAAAGATTTAGATAAAATAATTATTTCTTTTATAGGTCTAATTTTTATATTTATAATATTTTATATTACTATTGATATTATAATTTTCATTAAATTTTTTTATCATTACTTATTTCTTTATAAATTTCATTTTTAATTTGAGTTATTAATTTATTGATATCCTCATATGTAATTGTTTTAGATGTATTTTGAAACATTTCAAGTGTAAATCCAGATTCAATTATTCTCTAAAATTAAAAATTAATTAATAAGTATAAATGATAGTAAAATAAATAATTTAAATACCTGTTCTAATATTTTAAAGTTATTATCAAAACATTCTATTAATGCATCATATTGATGTTGTAAAGTTTCTTTATCAAATTTTTTAATAGTATTTTCTTTTTCTTTATTTTCATTTGCAACTTGATTTATTAATTTTCCAATTTTTTTATATGTTAACATTGTAGTTAAATTATTTATTTGTGAATTAATATTAAATAAAAGTAAATCATTGCAATAAATTTGATGGTTTTTTTTATCTTCAATTAATATTTTGTGACAATAATGATTAATAATATTTTTGTTGTTATCATAAATTAATACATTATCAGGTTTTCCAATAATGTCATATATTAAATCAATTTCTTCATTATTATTAAGAAAAAATTTTAATTCATAAATATGATCAAGATGTGGAACTTTATATGCTTTAACAGTAAAATCAGTACTGTTTACTTCTAAAATTTTAAACATTTTGTGATAAATTTTTAAAATTTAAACAAGTTGTAATAGAAAAGTTTGATTATTTATAGAGAAAAAATATAAATAACGCATTTTTTTAAAGAGTTATTTAATTTTTTAAAATGGATTTGGATACAAAAATTGAAAATTCTATTAATCATTTAACAAATTTTAGAAATATTTCTAAATTTGATCTTAAAATTGAAGAATATA